ACTGATTGATTCATTAACATTTCAGCCGGCTAACATCAATTAAGATAATCACTTCGTTGTAATATTAATCGAGTTTATTTCACAGTAACGGTAATGAGCAGATGACGGTGAATTGCTGATTCAAAAAAACAGTTACACATCGAGAGTGGTCCCATAGATCTTATAGATCCTCCAGATTCTAATGCTTCATCGCATTGCCTACGTATATCTCTTATCAATATAACACGCGAACTTTCGCACGCTTCAGAAACGTGTTGAAGAGCAAGGTAGTAAAATGAACGCTTAATTGCATTTGTAATTAATATTATCTCACTCTCATCGAACCCCCGCAGTGCCTCTAGACATTATGAACGTCAGTTGATATCAAGTAACGAGCACCATCTCTGTGACGAGCTGAGGCTATCCAATTACCTACCTACCTCGCAACTGACCGAGTTAAACAATTATCTGAAGTGATACTAACACAGCAATGAGCCTGAGATACTTGACAAGCCTGGAAGCTATCTAGAAGTCTCAAATGAACTCCACGAACGCAGTTAACGGATTCAATTTCAAGTTTATTGGATGAATGAATCAGAGGCCTTTCATCCTCTCTTGTTCATGTGTTGGTTTCTTGTCGGATTGTTTGTTGATATGTGCTGTCTTAATTGATGAACAAATGAGAAGTGAAACTCAATACTTGCGGCGTTCTGCTGTGTGAAATTTATAGCTTGTATTAGAAGAGTGGCTCATCGCTTCAACTTTAGCAAGAATAATCACTGAGTATATCCGGAGAAAAACTGAACAGGGGCGATAGCACGCGAACTGAGCTGAGACAATAAATTTCGTCTTTTCTTCCAGCAGCAATTGGGAAGTTCCGGTCATAGCACAATGAAATACATTAAAAACGATAGTTGTGGTTACAGTTGAACATAAGCAGCTCATAACGACCATGAGCTACCCAATAAACAACTGAATGACTCTATCATACTCGGATAAACTATCTGATCAACAAATCGGTGGTGATTTCCCAGTATGCATTCCATCCTAAGCCTATGTCCAAATGTAATGCATCGCTATATTCCACTTCGGCCATCCCACATTCAACTGCGAGATTTTGTTTTTGAGTTTTTACAGTTCATCGTGCAGTTTGTATGATCGTCTTAAATGATAGTAAAGTTACTTAATTTGCCAGAGATCAGGAATTTGTACTTGAAAACAATTCAGTGACTGCATAGATTCAACTGTTATCTCTGGAGTTGCGTAATGAATAAATTATAATCGCATGCGGAAAATCAGTGGTGAATAAAATTGTTTTCCAGTCCTCTTTCCAGTGCTTGTGGTAAACAAGCATTCAAGTATGTATGTAATTGAATGCGTGAATATAATATGAAATTTTTATGGGTGTGAATAGTGAATATTGTGCTCTAGTCGATAATACCACTGGCTATTGCTACATATCTAGAAGTGTTTTTCGGCTCTGAAATCTTTCCTGCTATGATGGGATACTCCTAAATTTATGCACTCTATTGGATCAGTTTTCTTTCTTGTTCGTTGTTTACCGTCAAAAATATGACTAAATGAATGAACACGAATGAGTAAATGAAGTTTTGGAATATACGAAAGCAGGCAGGTATCGATTAAGGCCCAAAATAACACTGTTGATTACGAAATGAACGTGTTGAAAACAATTTCTTACGATCAAAAATTCATGTGCGAACAATAAATGTTCAAAAGTACAAATAAATAATTCATCGAGACTAAAAGCGTAAGCTGATTCTTTGAAAACATTTTGAAAAAGTAGGGATATCTTTAAGGCACATCATCACACTTCATCGATCCTCTAAAAACTACGATGAGAAGTTAGCTGAATGATAAGAACGTGACGAACCAAAAGATCAAATTGTTCAGTGCTTTAATTACTGTTGACTTTTCATCATTTTTTTAAAAATATATTACCTGAAAATTGATGCACACAAATCCATTAATTGATGCGTTTTGAGAGTTAAAAGCTGAATTTTGATTCCTCCAAGTGCTTTTACGTGTTTGATCTTCTCGGTTATGAACTCCCATTTGTTACCTTTCGATTACCTCATACCTGTTGACTTGGATTGATCAGCAAATAGTTTCCTTTGATCTCACCCATTTGTTATTCCATAATCTTAGTGTTAGTTCAAACAACTGTTATTGCTTTCTCCTAGGTGATAAACATTAGAGAGAAGTAATATTTAGAATCCAATACCGGAGTTGAATCGACCTTAAACTTTTGGATGAATTAAAGTTCTGAGTTTTGTCATTCCAAATGAATCTGCGAAAAAAAGCAAATTAAAAATAGTAACGAATACGATTCAACTCAAAATCAGCAATGATAAAAGCAGAAAAAAAGTGATTTGATGAAAGTGGAAAAAAAGTGAATTCGGAGAACGTGAAAAATCACGGAGAATGATGGTCGAAACTAAAACAATAATCATAAATTTGCCACGGAAAATTTCGTCTGTAACGATCACATCATTCTTCTTCATTTCAAGAGTAAAATTTATTATCAGCTAAAATTTGTCTGCGAAGGTCGGCGAAGATCATCACTTCGAATTGATCAAAACCTCCTGTATCCTCCCACAATTCGTACTATACTGACGTAAACAGACAATCCTTAATGTCGATTCAAGTGACATTCAAGCACCAACAATATTTCGGCTTTCAGTCGATAAAAAATGAAGGCTAATTAAAATCATAACGATGTTGTGGGAGGATGCAAGTCACACTAATGCAACTCATAAAATATCGCACTAATTTTGGTCATATTTTTAGTTGTTATCATCCAGATATGACTAAAAAGATAGTCTGCATCCAATATTGTACTGAAATTGAACATCCCACTCATAAATCGTTTAAAAACCTCATTGGAAATCGAAAATTTTTATTTGGCTCGATGCCTTTTCATCGGTGAGATGGCAACCACTGGGCCATGCAAGTAATTTGGTGACTGCATAAGCTTTGACCACAACGGAATTTTCTAAATCTCCATGATAACTGTAACTGTAACATAAGGGAACACCATGAAAATGAGGTTGTATGAATCGAGTTGGGTCATTTGCTCTATAGCTTGAAATGTGAGGTTGCCAAATTTCAACTTTAAACGAAAAGTTCAATCTCAAGAATTCAGCATCTCAACGGAAATTCAAAAAAAAACTGGAAAAAATTCCTCTGTAACCTCATGCCCACCTCAATTTGCGATATTTTTGAGCCTTGATGCCGACGCATCTCGGAATATTGACAAGTATATTGTTGATTGAATGCCTTTGAGTCAGCCGCGTGTTTTCGTTCACCTACGCGGACAAAAAAAGAATCCTTTGTATAATTTTTTTTCAATCGGACACGAATCACAACGACAGCAATTGTTCCCATGCAAATGATGTTGATTTATGTTTCCGCAAAAAAAATCTCTGGTGAAAAATTCCAGAGTGATGCTTGATCTGAAGGACATTAAGAAACCTGCAGGATCATCGGTTGAGTCTCCACAGATTCTCCTATTCTTTTTATGTGATGAACGTAAAGTTTTATCAGCTTCATTCGTTGATTTTTAAGGACGGTAATGGTTCAATCTCATCCAAAGAATTGGGTGTTGCCATGAGGACATTAGGCCAGAATCCAACCGAACAAGAACTGTTGGATATGATCAACGAGGTGGATTTCGATGGCAGTGGAAGCATTGAATTTCCTGAATTTTGTCAAATGATGAAACGAATGAATAAGGTGAGCGCTCCTTCAGTGCATTTGTTCTTGCTTCGAAAGCACACGAATTCTGCTGCTGTATTACGGAATGTGCAAAATCCAGTGCTAAGCCCTCGCATAATTGATGATTTGCATGAGTTGTACAGAATGTTGCATGAATTATCTGGTAGATTTGATATAGGTTCGTAATATCTCCTCATAAAGCAAAAGCTCATCACCTCTCACGTTCAACTATCCGTTCACCGCGTTGATCGCTATTTTCTCAATATATTCTGGGAACTGTTTCACTGGATGGGACTGAAACAGTTTTCGTAGAAAGAAATGTTTAAGTATGAAGGCAATGAACCAATGAAGGCAAGGCACCTTCATGCCTCTCATCTCATGCTGCTTAAATAGGGTCATTTGATATTCTGATTGCGCCGATGTCTTCAGCATTCTAGTGTCCACAGACAGTGTGCAATTGAAACTTGTTGCAGCTGAATGAAACAATTCAATGGCAGCTTCGATTAGGTCTTCACTGAACT